TTTTTTTTGACTGCTATTTACCAACAAAATGGTGGATATTACCACAGTGAGTGTCAAAAAAAATGGCAAGGTCGAAATGAGAATTATTCTTTTTTGGTGACGGGTTAATTTCATAAATGTTATTAATAACTAATTAACAATGACGGCTTAAAAAATATGACGTAATTTAACTACACATCTATCTATTCTTTTTCATTCTTCGCTTCGCTGATCTTGAATTTTAATTCCTTTTATTCCCTCACTTTCTATGTTTCACTCCAAAAGTAAACTGGCAGGCAGTCAATAATTAACTCTAAAGCCTGGTGCGTATTGTTTTACCTCAATTGTAAATTTTCCGCCAACTGAAACATTTATATCACTAATTCCTGTTTCTTGTTTTTCAATTTTAATTGTGTTTATTTCTCCCCGAAGAACTTCTACTAATCACTGACCATGTTTCCTGCCAACTCAATTACCAAATTCTTCGACAAAACTACTATTTTTAATCTTTCTTACTCTTATTTTCAAACCAACATCTCCCTCATGTTCTTTTCCTAAAAATTCGAACTCACCTAAATCAAATAATTTCTCTTTGCTTGGTTCAAGGCTATCTCTACTTCCTTCTGCTTGCTGCTGTTGTTGTTCGATAACCATTTCTTCGGCTATCATTGGTATAACTTGTTTATTTTCTGTCATGATATATTTATTACATTTACGTTTGTATTGATTTTTACTTTTAAAAATTATTTTACTAATTTCACAGACTAGCAGCGGTTTCTATCATTCAGGCAAATTAGAAAGGGGCAACCTTTCTGTATTGGCATTTATTCTTTATAATTAACCAGCACTAATCACATAATCTTACATCAATATTATAATATAAACTTTTCATCTGCCTATATATTATTAATTTATATAACTTTCAATGACTGAAGCCTCAAAATGATTATTTTTGGGATTTACGTAGTTAATTACACTAACTAAAATTATTTTGGGGTTGGAGCCTTTTTCTTATTAGCCACAGTCCTTCTTTCGTGCCCTTTAGCCGTACGAGAGTTGCTTCTAGTGCGCTGACCATGGATCGGCAAAGGATTAGGTTTGCGAGAACGCCTTAATCCTTGATAAGTGCCCAAACTAATTTGTTCGCTAATATTTTTTTGTACTTGTTCCTTTAATTCTCCTTCAGTAGGGATTTCTTTTGCTTTCTGGCTAATTTGGTTAACTTGTTCAGGAGTTAAATCCCGAACCTTAACCAATGGATTAATGTTTAACTCGGTCAAAATTCGTCGAGAGGGGGAGGTTGGACCGAATTTTTTCCCGAAGCCGTGAATATGACTCAAGGCTACCCAAACATTTTTATTTTCTGGCAATTCTTTATTTGCAATACGCACCATATATTAATTATAACTTTTATTAGCCTTGTCTTTGATTGTGTTTACGATCCTTTTTGCAGTAAATATAACGGCGTCCCCCTCTTATGATTACTTGACAGCCTCCTTTGCCTTCACACATTTTTTTGATGGAACTACGGACTTTCATAATATATTATTTTACAAACTTTTAATAATAAAGTGAACTTTTCCCTCCTAGTCAATTTAAAATTCGATGGCATAAAAAAGCCTGTTGACTGCAAACTCATAATCTATTTGCTTAAATTTAATTAAAAAATAAATAAAGAGTCAATTAATTAGCGATTTCTTAATCCTCTTAAATCGTTCTTAATTCTTTAATACTAAAATCTTTTAAGTCTAATTTTCGCTCACAATCTTTGCAGTAAGCCGCCTGTAAAATAAATTCTTCTCTTTCTTCACCATCACTTTTGGGTTCTTCTTGGTCTTTTCAATTTCCTATTTCCCCCTTTTTTCTAAAAGTAACATCTTTTTTAGTATCCTT